AGTTATGTGTTTCACATATGTCTTCTGTGTTGTGCCTCGTTGATGCTGAAAAAGAGGGGAAAACGGGAGAAAAAGAAACAGGATTTACAGTTTTCATGACTACTGAGGTTTGTTTTTTGCGATGTAGTAATTATAAGCTATGACTTCATGGACTCATTCTCTTTTATTAGCTTCATCTTGGAAAGGACAGGAAGCTTCGCATTCTGTGTTAGTTCTGGCAATGGTGGTATCTCAGTTGATCCAACTGTCTTTTAAAAAGGGCGACAGATGGAGCTTCAGTCACGTGTTAATTAATGAATTTCACTCATTGACGATTCGATAAGAAAGTTGATAGTCGGCTGACAAAAGGACTTCTATTCAGGGCAATTGACCAGTTTTGCATGCAATAGGACTTCTCAGCATGAAGTGAAGTAAACTGACTTTAACGAGCATGAATCAAAGATGTATTTGGCATGATAAACTATCATAGATACCATTGGTTTTCGACATCACACTAGACCTTAAGGAACCTAAAATTAACAAAATGCCCTGCCTATCAACGTGGGTCTATTTCAGGTATCCTCGATCTTCATATTTGCTAGTCAGTAAGTCACAGAAACGTTTTCCCTCCACGGGAGTTCAGGTTACACTTTTAAATTACCCTTTACAGTCTGAAGAGTTGGTAAACCGATGTTACATGATTAATCGATGCAAAAATCAATATTCTTTGCTTCGTGTGAATTTCAATTTGATCGACCCACTCCAAGCGATAAAATCAGGATCGCCTCCATAAAGCACTGGAAGTAATAAGAATCTAAGGAAAACAGTAATAAAAGGGTTTTTCACCGCTCTTTTCCTTTCATGTGCCATAAGAAAGGAAACACCTAGTGAACCCAGGCGCAAAGCCAAGTCATTTTTTAGCATGAATAGTATTTAGAAATAAGATTTGACCACCAAAGTCGTTTGATCACAACTCCAGCAAGAACTAAGAATCGGGTACATGTAGGCAAAAAATAAAGAAGAAACGGTTTAATATTAATGGCGAGTCAACATAGTGTACTGGAGAGTAAAAAGCTGATAAAGAATAAACAAGGAGGAACTCACATTAACTCGGTGTGTCGATGTTATTTTGTTCTATCCTAACCGGTTGGTGGGTAACGGGTTCCATAGGTGGAAGACCATGGGTAGTAGGCAGGCGATTGTGTGGTTTATTTGACGTTTTAGGGTAGTAGTGAGCGTTTTTTAGCGACCGAAAGTCGATAGGTCCAACGAGTTACCTGTCTACTTCAAGTAAAATATTAGGGAGGAAAAGTATTTAATACAACTACAAAGTAGGAAAATAAGGCAGTTTGGTCTGAACATGTAGAAAGCCCATAATTTCAGAGTGGGACGCAGATGTGTTCGTTTGTGTTAGGTCTGTCTAAGTGAATGCTTGATCAGTAATTCTTATAAACGTATGTAATTCATCTGCCATGCGTATTTTAGAGGGAAGTCTGTTCCATGTTAATGCATACTTGATGAGGGAGTTCTCTCGAGTTTTGATCTTTATTTCTTATATGACTAACCTGCTGACTGCGATGAACAGATGGAAAGTCAGCCATGATCGCAAGAGGAAGGCTGACGTCATATACCTTGACTTCTGATGGGTCAATCATATATGTCTCATCAACAAGCTCAAACAATTAGGTGTCAAGTCACCGTTGTTTGATTGGCTCACTTCATATCTAAATAATCAACTTTTTATGATCAGGGCTAACTTCACCTTTTTTCGGGCTACCGAATGTTTTACTATGTTCCCCTGTGATTTTGTACTGATATAATATAATATATTTCTGCAAGGGCAGGTGCACGCCATTTTTACAGTCATGATCTACAAATTACAACATTTATTGTTTCACAGTATGCATAAAATAAATATGGTCTATAAAAGTGAATATTAGTTCACTTTGCACTCTCTTAGTTGAAACGCAGCTGGACTGTGTAATTTTCCACTCAAATTTCAACAGTTTTATCCGACCCTGTTTAGCGTATGGGAACATTGTGTTTTTTCATTCACTTCGAAAGAAAAAGGACGCAGTGGAACATATCCAGGAAAAGCAAGATTCTTCGATACAACACAGCATATAACAATCCAATCACAATTGACGGAGAAGATTTGGAAGATGTACAAACCTTTATATATTTGGGCAGCATCATCGATGAACACGGTGGATCTGATGCAGATGTGAAGGCACGGATCGGAAAAGCAAGAGCAGCATATTTACAACTGAAGAATATCTGGAACTCAAAACAATTGTCAACCAACACCAAAGTCAGAATTTTCAATACAAATGTCAAGACAGTTCTACTGTATGGTGCGGAAACCTGGAGAACTACGAAAGCCATCATGTAGAAGATACAGGTGTTTATTAACAGTTGTCTACGCAAAATACTTCAGATCCGCTGGCCGGACACTATAAGCAACAACCTACTGTGGGAGAGAACAAATCAGATCCCAGTGGAGGAAGAAATCAGGAAGAAGCGCTGGAAGTGGATAGGACACACATTGAGGAAAACACCCAACTGCGTCACAAGACAAGCCCTCATATGGAATCCTCAAGGTCGAAGGAAGAGAGGAAGACCAAAGAATACATTACGCCGGGAAATGGAGATAGATATGAGAAAAATGAACAAGAATTGGATGGAACTAGAAAAGAAGGCCCAGGACAGAGTGGGTTGGAGAATGCTGGTCGGCGGCCTATGCTCAATTGGGAGTAACAGGCGTAAGTAAGTAAGTAAGTAAGGAACATATCCAACGGAGAGATACGAAATTAGTTTGAGGACTCAAATTCAAGTCTTACTAAGAATACTTCCAATCCCTGAAGCTTTACTTATTAGTTCACAGACGTCGTAGAGGTGACCCAATGATTTACAACATCCCCAGCATTCATGGGCATCCCACTATACACTTAATTTAGCTTAGTCCCAACACAAATTTCAGTAGGAACACCCGAAAACCGGAGGAACTAACAAGCAGGACGGACTGTATGCTTAAGTATTCTATAACAATAGTCAGATGTTGGAGTTCGCTATCGCCTGAGCTAGTAGAAATGATATCCCACGAGTTCTTTAGGAGGAAACTTGATATATTCTCAAGGACTAAGAACAGTATTATGCCATAATTTGCTAATTTTTCCTTATCTTTTATCTTTAAACCTATTTAGGTTATTGCCTAGGTGCACTGGTGATCAAGTGCTGCTAGATAAGGAAGACCGTTAAGCGAAAGCTTCTTCGATTCCATCCAGAACCATTTGAAACAATCTATTTACTTGCACGTAAGCATCCGGTTATATCACATTCCTTTTAAACTTAGCCAAACTAACTGCGCATTGACTGTACAAATCCCTGTCATTTGATTTAATGATTCTAACTCAAAATAAAAGGTCCATATCGGAGGGAAACGAGCGCTTGTACCACTACTCATTAATTTTCTTAGTATTGTCTAAATTTTCTGACGACTTAATTATAACTTGCCAGATCAGAGCAAACCTTGTTTTCAAAATTAGTACTAGACATAAATCTGAGGACTATCGGCCTGTTAGCTTAACCACAGTAAATTTTTAAATTCTAGAGAAAATTATCTTCAAGCACTTGTCTATGTATCTCAAGGAAAATGCTACACCAACAGAAGAGGATATCCATGCCTCACAAACTTATTACTGGATCAAGAAGTTTGGTTTGCACTTAAAGCCAAAGGTCAACATATATGGGTCTTTGATAGATTTTAGTAAGATTTTCGACGAAGTCCCGCGTCAACAGGCAGTTATTTAGGTTTAAGAATATTACAACTTGAGACAACTTATTAATAAAGGCAAAGGATCTCCCTGTAAAATATCGATGAAGAGTACTGGTCAACGCCAAGTGTCCAGTTAAGAAACTGTGCTTAGTGGAGTTCTCCAGATTATAGTTTTGGGATGCGTTATTTCTCCTGTTTTTAAATGACCTTCGTGGTCTTGCATGATTGTTTTTGTTATATCAGGACACGTAGAACTACAGAAGACGGGTGGGGCAGTTTGAAGTTTTAAATTATATGAATAGTCTAGAATTTCGCAGTTGCCGATAAATGTTTACAAGCACACAATGATGAATATTTGTCACCAAGGTACAGATGCATACATGGTGAATAACGTTGAACTACTAACTGTCTAGACATATATCGATCTAAGAGTCAACGTAAGCCAAAACTTGAAAGTAACAGCACACTGCTGTTTAATAAATGCTAAAGATTTTAGAGCTTTCCGATCAATAAGGAGAGGTCTTAAACATGAAGATACTTAAACCACTTTGACTCGATGTACAGTGTTTATTTGTCATAAGCCTGTGTGTTAGGCACAAGTAACCTACCGTTGCCAAAAAATAATGTGGTGATTCGTAACAAAGGGTTTAAAGAATCCCCACGAGGTCGATTCACGGAGTCTCATGGCTGACGCATGACTAGAGACTGCCTAAAATAAACCTCTTTCTCTTGTCATACAAAAAGACCAGATGTAATATATTCACTTGTAAAATTAGTTTTTAACCGTAAATAACCTAGTTTTTGACTCTACCTAAATCTGAACGTTTATATGGGCATTCCTGAAACATCCACAAGCTTAGCGAAAGCTACAAGTTAACTAACTGCTTACTTCCTCATCAAATCATTAACGAACTGAACTCTACCCCAACACTTGGCTGAAGCATCACCTGTTGACACGATCAAATGAAGTTAGGAATAACTGGAAGATTCTCGTCGTTATTGCTATACGATGCTACCGATCCTCTTGTCTTTCCTAGACAGAAATGGGCAGAATTAGAAGTAATCTTATCTCCAAACTAAAATATGCTATTTCGGTTATATAAATTCAAGCTTCATATTGCGACATTTATCCTTGACAGACCATACTTGTTATCACTTTAAGTAACACGGGTTTTGTTTGTTTGTGTTTCATTAGGATTGTACATGCAAATGAACATCTTTTGAACACGTCGCGGGATGTCTCTTAATCTTTATTGTCCTGCAAGACTCTAAATAATCTAGTTTTAGTTAATCAATCAGTTCCGCTTGATTAATTACACTTCCATACATTTACAAGTCAGTTTAAAAATGAAAACGAAGGGATTCACCAAACGACGTTAATAACTCCAATAATAGGTGTGAAGATGTAGGGGACATGCCCAAGTAGCTACTTGTTCTAAGTTTGGAGCTTTGCACGTCAATGCGTTCAGTTAGTATTGCTATTCCGTTTTGTAATGTTCTGTTTTTATCGTAATACTTCGTTGGTGTTAGACCATCATTTTTTTCGTGTTTATTTCGTTGCCTGAGGATTACAGTTCTTTAATAGCTCGGTTTATTGTATCCTTAAAGATATGACCACTTTTCCAGAAAACGAGGTCCGCATTAGTTATTTGCTGGCACATGAGGCTTAGATCCTGGTATGTTAGACATCGGAACTAGTTCATCTAAGCAACTGCCTGAACTAAAGAATAGATTTTGACAATTTCTGGCTGTATTTCAACCAAATAACAATATTTAGTGAGGCATAATTAACTTGTTAGGTGACTATTAGACATTTTTAGCTGCGGCCTTACAAACTACCTCAAAATATCAAATATTTGCGAAATGAGTTATAAAGTTTTTTGTTCTGGGAGCTGATCTGTGTATTCAAGATAAATTTATAAAGGACATATACAATAAATAAAGACTGAAATATTGAAGGCAAGTAGTATAATAGGAAACTACTTAAAAAGAAATGTGTTCAGGTACATTAGTAATTATTTTTATCATTTTACGTCTTTTAAGACGCTTAATGATAGTAGAGAACCATAAGGTTTGTCATTAAAGTGTACTTATACGTACCACAAAGACAACATGTCTTTGGGGGTTTCGATCTGAATTCGGTAAGAACAGGAGCCTCAATGGTTTGTGTTGCCCCTGTCGTTGGAGTCTCGGTTGGCTTCTTGTGGATGGGTCAACTGATGGAGCTTCAGTTATGTGTTAAGGAAAAGTCTCATGGTTTGATATTTGGATAGGAAAGTCAGTAGTCAACTGACTAGTAATTAGTGCCGGATTTGTGGACGTTTTTAGGACGCTTCCCTCAACTTTCTGTTCCAGAGGACAAAAATTTGTGGCGTTTCAGATGTTAAGTCATTATTATTACAAGTATATAGTTTCGCGAGCAACTTGTCATGTAATTGTGGTACATTTTAGGAAGTTATGTTTTCATCTATATACTCCACCCTAATAATAATCCTATGATCATGAAAGTATATTGGCTAAACTTACGGGACAATATTCCTAAAATTTATACGTCGTATCTGTCTGGAAGGCAGGACTTACTATGGGGCCCCTCCAGTCATTCGGTTATCTACTTTGGATTGAAGATAGATTAAAACATATTTGAAGGACTTGTGTTGAAGGGTGCTAGTTGCTTTAGTACTTTTCAATGCATTTCATCTGGTTCCATAATTTTTCCTACTAGTTTACTTAGTATACAAATGAAGTCGAATTCGCTATTCACAATTTCCAGAATGTGTGTGGCAGGATATATATATATATATATATATATATATATTATTTATTCTAACACAAATATTGGTAAAGCGGGCACCAGATACATATGCGCCACACAATAGAAATGAGAATCGGAAGAGATAAAGGATATAAGGTGCGTATAAAAAGAAAAGAAAGAACAGTGGCGACCTCAAATTAGTGTATGGTAGCGAAATAATAATAGGGGAAACGGAAAGGTACAATCAGAAGAAATATTTCAGTTGAGGAAGTTACAACCACTTATTATGAAGAAAGTAAAAGGTCACGACAGGATCGCCACTGGCTTCTATTCTGAGCCATATCTGATAGCGTCTCTAGCCACTGTGCTGCACCATCTCTAGGAGCCCAACCAGGGAGTCGTGAAGGTCCAACAGATGCCAGTCCTGCATAGCTTTCACACCCCGAAACCATGTCATGCACTGACCACCTCTCCGCTTTTTTCAACCAGTCCCAGTGTCGGCAAATAATGCACGACGTGGAATTCTCTGGGACGACATTCGTAGAACATGTCCAAGCCACCGGAGTCGATGTTTCAAGATGGTGACACCAATTGGATTATCGTCTCTGTGCCCGAACACACGATGATGAACCTGTGCATTACTGACATGGTGTTGCCACTGGATGTCAGCAATCCTTCATAGACAACGATGATTGAACACAGAAAGTCATCTGACATTCTCAACTCGGAGAGGCCAGGTTTCACAAGTATAGAGCAGAATTGCTCTCAACGACGCTTTGTAGATCGGACCTTTTACAGCCAGACTAACAACACGAAGGCTCCAAAAGTGGCCCAGATTGGCATAAGCCGCTCTGGCTTTCACTATACGTGCATTGATCTCATCACTCACACCACCACCAGCACTTATGCAGCTACCTAGATACACGGACTTCTCAACTATTATCTGCTCACCATCCAGAGTGAGTACAGGATCAGGGTCCTGCCAATCTTGTAAAAGTACTTTGCATTTTTGTTTAACTTCATCATAAACATGCTGATAGAAATAACACTCTTGTTGACTGAATTCTCGGGTACTGAGCTCGTTCCCGGAAGTCTAATTATCGACTTAGAATTCTCAGATGACATAGTCCTGTTTGGTGAAGACGCTGATAAAATGCAGAGTCTTCTGGTAGCACTGAGCAACAATGCCAGGATGTTTGGGATGCGCTTTTCCCCCTCTAAATGCAAGTTGTTACTTCAGAACTGGTCTGCGTTAACACCTGAACTAAGGATAAAGAGTGATGTAGTCGAACGCGTTGACAACTTCACTTATCTTGGAAGTCTGATCAGCCCTAATGGGTTGGTGTCTGACGAAATCTCAGCACGAATTCGAAAAGCTCATTTGGCTTTTGCCAACTTACGTCACCTACGGCGAAGGCGTGATATCTGTCTATCGATTAAGGGACGAATATATTGTGCGGCAGTTCGTTCTGTTCTACTTTACGGCTGCGAAACGTGGCCATTAAGAGTAGAAGATACTTATAAGCTACTAGTATTTGATCAAAGATACCTTAGAAATATTGCTCGCATCTGCTGGGATCACCGGGTAGGTAATTGTGAGGTTAGACGCAGAGTATTAGGTATTAGGGAATGATGGTAAATCAGTTGATGAGGTTGTGAATATTCATCGACTGAGATAGTTGGGCCACGTGTTGCGTATGCCTGAACACTGACTACCACGTCGCGCAATGCTAACCGGTGTTGGGGATTATTGGGGGAAAGTTAGGGGTGGCCAAACCAAAACGGCATCAGTGCTTGAAGTCACTAACTTCTGGTCTGAGCCATGTTGGTAGATGCAAAGTACTTGGTTGGGGTCCGCGTGACTATCGTAACCAATGGTTGGAGACTCTTGGTGACATGGCTTAGAATCGATCACAATCGCGTCGGTGTATACACTCTCTGTCTTTCTTTAAACTATGAGACAAATTATTTCATGTCTTTCTACAAACTAACTTTCTTCTTGTACTGTATCCTTATATGCAATCTCGCCTTTATATATTACACCATTGAGTCGATTGCTCCTATGAATTTGGTGCTCATCTTATTGTGCTAATGAGGTGTGGCAACTCGGACCGATGCACATATGTGCCTGGTCCTACTTTGTAACTGACTGCGACGCAAATACTATACATACGGACACTAATTGTCAACTGATTAAGTGCGATTGCACGGCTTGGGCATTATCTCACAGTAAGACAATATCATCCCCATATTCAAGGTCTAGAAGTTTTTCTCCAGGCAACAGATCCACATCGCCATTACTTACGTCCAACAGAGCTGTTTCCAGAATGTCATCGATGGAAAAGTTGAAGAGGAATGGTGAGATTGGGCAACCCTGTCTAACCCCACTGCTTGAGTGGAACAGCGGAGAGAGGTGGTTGTATGCCCTCACTATGCCTGAGGTGTTTGTGTATAGGGCTTTTAGGATGTTAATAAACTTCTCAAGCACACCCTTCTTCAATAGACAACCCCAGAGAACAGTCCTATCCAACGAATCAAAGGCAGCCCTGATGTCAAGAAACACTACGATTGTGGGCCTTTGATAAGTATGGCGGTGTTCTAACATTTGGCAGAAGGTGAAGACATGATCAATACATCCTCGACCGGAACGAAAACCAACTTGCTCCTCGCGAGTCAATCTTTCTCGGGTTTTGAACAACTTACGAAGTATGACTGAAGCCAATAGCTTGGACGCAGTTGGAATTAGACCTATCCCCCGATAGTTGTTACAGGAACAACGTGAACCCTTTTTAAAGATAGGGACAACTATCGACTCATTCCATGACGTTGGTACACTCTCTAGTTCCCAGAACTTTGTAAACAACGTCGTCAGTCATTCTCTGTGGTTGGAAAACCCAGCATCACATTTCAATACACTCAGTGATTGAAACTAATATCGACTGTGTTACTTATCACTAGCTTGAAAGTTTTATTTTCCGTGCATCTGGCTTGTAATACCTGCTTATTTAGGTCTGTTACCCCTCGTGGAGGAGAATAGGCCACATATCACCATTCTCTACCCAACTCTGTCCTGGGCAATCCATTCCAGTTGCTATTGATCCTTTTCATGTTTGCTTCCAGTTCCCGACGCAGTGTGTTCAGTGGTCTTTCTCTTCTCCTTTCCCCTTCAGGATTCCAAGTTAGCTCACCTCGTAATTCAGTCTAATTACTCCCGTGATGTATGTCCTATCTACTTCTAGAGTCTTTTTTTTAAATTTCCTCTTCAGCTGGAAGCTTGTTTGTTCTCTCCCACAGTAGATTGTTACTAATGGTATCCGCTCAACAGATATTGTGTATCTTGTGTAGACAATTTTTTATGAATACTTGCATTTTTTTGATGGTAGTCGTAGTAGTTCTTCACGTTTCAGCTCCGTACAGTAGGACGTTCGTATTAAAGATTGTGACTTTGATGTTTGTTGACAGACAGTTGTTTTGAGTTCCATATGTTCATCGACTGTAGGAATGCTGCCCTAGCTTTGTCAGTTTTTGCCTTTTACGTCTGCATCAGATCCTCCTTTTCATCGATGATGCTGCACAGGTATGGCTTTTGATACACTGCTACTAATTGAATAGGAGGCAGTTATCTTTCACACTGATTTGTTTCTCTGGTAACAGTAGTGACTCAGGCGAATTTAAATATTTGCTATTCACTTAGTTGTTTTGAAAAGTAATGAAAACCACAAAATAGTTTATCTTTTGCTCCTGTCTTGTATCACTAATTTAGTTTTTAGGAGTTCAGTCTTTCCTCATTAGAAACTGTTTGTCTCTTTCTGTTTTAGTTCCATTATGACACTCTCTTTACGCTGCTCTGTTGTAATTGAAGAGTTAGCTTCTGACAAGTGTACCGTTAAACGTCGCACAGCACTTCGTGAATCGCAAATTTCAGCAGTTAGAGATGACTTACAGCAAATTCTCATACGTATCACTCCTATGGACAATTCAGGCTGCAAAAAGATGGTTAAGAAAAGTATGGGTTATCCAGTCATTGAATTAGATCTTTACAAAAACTTTTTATCACAAGGCAAAGCCACTATATGTTTACCAGTTCATTCTGTAAGAATAATGATTAGTAACTGTCCACCAGATAAACTCCGTTTTTTCCTCGGGACTCTCCGTACCAAATTAAAAACACAGAAGACCCACATTTTGAAAAGACCAGTGCCACCGGATGCTCCTCCTACATCTATTTCACTCCTAGAGGAAATAAGTCCACTACCTCTTCCAAAGAAAGTCAACTCTCATTCAAAAGTCATAGAACCATTTTCTTGTGACATGTCTGTCATAAACTTTCAAGATGGTAGGTATAATGATTTTATACTAATGTTAACTGATTTATAGTGAAGATTAGAACGAGTCCCAGTTTTCCTGAGACTTCAAAATATCTCAATAATAATATCTTTTTTTAAACGAATGCCTGCATCCTCTCTCTAGTTGGTTTATATGTTCAACATTCATCACCAAATATTTTATGGTCGTTCATGGCTTTTGTTAGTTAAACTTTGGAATTTCGTCCTTCTGCGTTTTAAGAGGACTACTCCATCAATACAATTCATATCGTGTTGGGGTGTGCAATCTCAATTTACAATTTATGGGAATAAAATCAGTTTCAATTAGGATTAAATCCTATTACAGTAAATTGTTCTGTGTGAACACTTTGTAGGATTTCAATATATTTTTACTCAACAAATATTGTTATATCTGAACGAAGAATCAGTAAATGATAATCGCTAAAAACTATTTATGGACTATTATTACATATGTCCTTATTGGATAATCATTAAGTAACGAGATTATATATATATATATATATATATATATATATATATATATATATATATATATATATATATATAACTAGTAAGGACTCTAGGTTGCTCGTGCTGCTTTAATGTGGCATTGTTTGGTGTTCTGATTGGCGATGTAGTCACATAACAATATAGGAACAAATCCTGGTAAGATGGAAGTAGACACCGACCATATTAACTATTGTAGAGCAATACAAAACCAGTAGAGTTAACGCGATTGTTTACTGTATATAGAAGGGGAAAGAAAGTTAATATGGACAGTCAAGAATTATCACCAGTCGCCATAATAAGAGTCTAACTCGACGCTCAATACGTGGATGTTTACTGAGTTACATTGGTTGCGTATCAAATTACATTAAAACGGCTTAGGTCGTCTAAATGTGCTTATAGTATTTTGACTCTTTGTACATTCAGAAGATAAAAGATCGCTAAACCATCTTTTTGAACGTCATAGCAGCAGCAATGACGTGTATCAATTTCTTACCGTAAATGCTATAAATCCTGATTTCAAACTTTTAGGCACGATGCATCAATTTATCACTCTATCATTCACTTGTTTATAGAAGTCTCAACTACCTGTTCACCAAGGTGTGGATCCTTACGCTCAACTCCTCTTGTTTCCACTCCTGTACGAAAGGTCGCAGCAAAAAGTCGTGGAGACACTAATCGATCATTTGGTCATATCTGTGATTTACAAGAATCTGATATTTCAAGTCAATCAGGTCACGACGAACAAATGACAGTTATAAATTTCGTAAAGCAAGGATGCAATGTTTTTTGTACTGGTGGTGCTGGGACAGGAAAATCTCATCTTATTCGTCGTGTAGTTGGCAAGTAACCTATATTCATATATATATAAATTAGATAGTTTAAAAATTTTAATATCTTGTCAAGACGATTATGTATAAACATTCGACTACATGTGTCTTTTGATGATTCTTCGTGGAAAATTTCTCTTAAAAAATGTATTGGTTACTCTTCATAGCATCTGTCATATTGCTTAATAGCTTTTGATCGGTTATTTGAAATCACTTTTGCTTTACAAGTCAACCATTCATTTTTACTCGCCAATGTACCCGAGCGGTGTTATGAAGGTCAAGATTTCACTGTATGTTGTCATTAGTTGCATCTATGTTTGACGACTGTTGCAATTATGTGAGAAACTATTCATAGTCAGCGTGTTGGATTGTATGTGTTCCCATGGGCGGGAATTTTCTTTACGGGTTTTGGTATATTTGTTCTGTGTAATCTTATTGCAAGATGGGTTGGATTTTTTCTGATTGAATTTCTGGGACCATCATCAATTCTAAGTAATGTATACGACGAAATATTGTCCGGATGTAAAAATAAATTATCAATTTAAAATATATGCTGTTTGTACGTGGTAACGGTAAAACTTTCTGGTGATATTCATAGTTAATATATTTGTAAATGAACGTTTTGCTACTCATCATAAATAGTAGTATAACATTGTAAGAATAATTATCATCTACTGAAGTGATTTTCACGAATTAAAGACAGATCACTACTTAAAAAATATTGTCATCACTGACATATATATATATATATATATATATATATATATATATATATATATATATATATAGTGGAGTTTTTATGTGAGACTACCGTAGCAGATTTCTGTTTCTACTGTTTATCAAGAAGTTGTGTTTCTTAAATATGCAGGTCTACTTCCACCGGAGTATACTGCTGTAACGGCTAGTACAGGATCAGCTGCTAATATTATTGGTGGATTGACAGTACACGCGTTTTCAGGATTAGGAGGTTTACTTGAGTCAGATCTAAAGATGGATAAAGATAACATTTTGGTTTGGATGGATCTTTTGCGTACTCGTTTAAAATTCCGTCCAGATATAGTAATTCGCTGGCAAAAAGTGCAATATCTCGTTATTGATGAAATTAGCATGTTAAGTAGCAGACTATTTACACGTTTAGAACTTATAGCCACTGAGTGTCGCCGTTCAATGGACAAAATTTCCGAACAAAAAGCTTTTGGTGGCATCCAGTTGGTTATCTTCGGCGACTTTTTTCAACTTCCACCTGTTGTTCATCCGTCTGAGGTAGGTTATAATAAACCCAAGATTTACAAATTTATACGGTTTACTTTTATTTTACATTCATACAGTGTAAGAAGTTAAACAATATGTTTCTTTCCTTTTTTTAATGGCATGTATGGAAACCTGAGTTAACGTATGTTTACGCTAGTTCGACACTTTAAATAATGGACTGAATTTTTAATCGTCAGATTTCTCCAACTAGTACATTAAAGACGTATTACAACTGTAACTCGAATCGTTTTCCATCTAGCCGTTTTTATGGTCTTATTTACTCGGGCCGGTTACCCATCGTGGAGGAACACAGGCCTCCCACCAGCATTCTCAATCGAACTCTATCGTGAGATATCCTTTTTACTTGCTATTCGTTATTTTGATATCTGCTTTCGAATCCTGACGCAATGTGTTCCTCTTCTTCCTAGTTCCGGATTCCAAGTTAGATCCCGCCTCGTGATACAGTTTACTGTCGATACCAGGAAAAATTTTCAACAGTGTTACTGAGCCGGATGAAGAATTCAGTAGATGTCCAGCTTCGAGATCAGCAGGCCGGATTCCGTAAGGATCGGTGGTTCATAGACCAAATTGCAACACTACAAACCATCGTTGAGTAATCAATTGAATTGAATTCGTCACTATACGTCAAATTCTTTGACTATTAGAAAGCGTTTGAAAGAGTGGATACTAGAACCTTATGGAACTTTCCTCGACACTATGGTGTACCTGAAAAAGATCGTCAACATCATATGGAATTCATACAACGGACTGCATTGCAAAGTGGTGCATGTAGGACAGCTGGCAGACGCATTCCAAGTAAGGCCTGGAGTCAGATAAGCATGATTACTCTATCCCTTTCTCTTTCTTCTGGTGGTTGATGGGATTATGAAGACCTCGACATCTCAATGAAATCATGGAATACAATGAACAGGTTGGGTGCGTCTAGACGATTTGGACTTCGCAGATGACCTAGCTCTTCTATCCTATACACACCAACAAAAGCATGTGAAGACAGCCAGTGTAGCAGCAACCTACTACGACCATAATCGAAAAGTACAATTATTTATAACAATTGTCTACACAAGATAATATCTGTTGGCCGGATACCATCAGCAACATCCTACTGTGAGAGAAAACAAACAAGCGTCCACGTAAAGAGGTAATTAGAAAAAGACGCTGGAGGTGGATCGAACATACATTGAGGAAATCATCGAATCGCATCACCACTTACTTAATAACCTACTTACCTACTCCTGTTACCGCTTGTGAAGGAGCATTGGCCGCCCACCTGGATTCTCAATCGAACTTTGTCCTGGGCAATCCTTTCCAGTTGTTCTTCCTTTATTTAATCTTGTGCAGAGTTTCGATGTAGATCCATTCTTTATGGTGATGCTTCTTGCGGCCCAGTACACATGAAACGTGGAAGTTAGTACTTCTCTGGTCCTCTTCCACTTGTCCTCCATAGTAGTTTCTTTTTCATCCACATCTTATAAGGCTTGTAACCTGTTGTTGAGAGCTATATTGAATTCGTCGAGTTTGCCACGATCTCGAAGGAAGGCTTTGTTGGACCTTTGTAATACAGTTTCTCCAGCTGTCCAGTGCTTCTCTAGCTTCAGTTTCATTTTGACAAACACCAGGTGGTGATCTGACGTTGCTGTGTCAGCTCCTCTCTTGGTCCTCATATCTTCCATTGAGTTTCTGAATTTTTTATTGATACAGATATGATCGATCTGGTTTTCTGTAATGTGATCTGGTGAGACCCATATAGCTTTATGTATGTGCTTATGGGATTGTTCACTGCCGCCCATAACCGTTTTGTTGAATGCACGTAAATCTGTAAATCTCTCGCCATTGTCATTCTTTTCTCCCAGTCCATGTCGTTCCATGTTATTTTCTTACCCGGTATTGTCCATTCAGATCTTGGAGTTTAGGTCTCCCATCAAGATGATCAAGTCTTTTTCTGGACACTTCACTATAATCAATTACAGCCTCTCGTAAAACTGGCCTTTATCGTCTTCATTGCTATAGTTGGTGGATGCATGACATTGGATAGGATTCTTTATTTCGAAGGATGCTTTAATGATTCCGGATCCATGAGATTCTCATCCTGTTAGTGTTTTCCGCGCTTCATTGAACAGCATCTGAGCAACTCCCTGACTGTGTGGAGCGTTTTCTTCTTCACGACCAGAGTAAAACAGCATCTCTCCCGAATCTAATCTTTTTGTCCAGTTTGGATCAAATGCGTTTCACTGATCCCGAGCACCTCCAAGCTGTATCTCCTCATTTCCGTAGCTATTTGATTGGTCCTCACTGTCCGGACATTTTATTTATCGATATTAGCTGTTGCTCTGGTTGTTAGAAGGGACATCTGCCTTCGCGACTTCCGAAGCATCTCGGCTTTCACTATGAGGTGTTATAATTCTTCTGGATGATGATCCTTCAACTCGAAGGGCAGAGTTTAATTTGTTTATTCTGGTTAGTGTTTTTTCTGATAATGTTGTTTTCTACGGAATTGGGTTGCTGACTCCATGTCCAACCCTTCCCCTTTACCTGGACTTTGGACCGATAGTAGCCTTTGGAGAGCTACTGGTGGAGTTTTTTTTATCGTGTAAGCGATACTCATTAAATTTGTCCTGATGTCCAATGTTTTAAAATTGTTTTAACAACAATGTTTTAAAATCTTAGTCTAGTTGTTGTGTAATGACAGCATTTGTCAAAGTTATGTTGCGTTGGTTACATATTCATCACATAATTGGGTATTTTAACTCCCCATTACATAGTTGTATGGTTTGCTAGTGATTCTGCCTTCTGATATACACTCAACTGGGATTTAAAGATCATTTCTATTACTTTACGGATAATATCAACTACTTCGGCTATTTATATTTTACTAACCAGCTATGCTGTAATAATAATCTGAAAGCGTACTCGTCAAATTAGTTTCATTGAAACAACTTTAAGACGAAGTTATGAATACTATATAAGTATCAAATACTTGTATCATCTGGACGTTTTCGTCATATAACTGCTTGTTTTATGTAAACATTGTGAAACTGTTCTAGACGCCATAAATTTCATTGATAAAAATATGTAGTTATCTTGTTGATTTCAATCGTTTTATGTTTTTTCAATCGGAGATTATTCTATACACTTTTGAAGTCATTTATCTTCCTTGATTATACTATCTCTTTTACTATGGAACGTGTTACATGATGAATTTTCTCCTGGATGACCAGTAGGGTTATATCGAAAAATATATCTAGTCCGATTTTAAAATTTCTGTCTGGAAAGTGCCAACTCCACATAAACTTCTCTTAAATTGATGTGCACTTAACAATATAAGAGCGCTGATTTTATGCAATGTTAACAGTCAGTGTTCGGGAATCAGCTTAACCTACTGTAAATATTATTGAGTTTGTGTTAAATACTGGTTTTGGTAACCGTAGATTGTGCATCGGCATTTTTAACTGTTCCAGCAACCTAATTATTTTAAAAATTTCGTAGATAGGACTGAGTCAATTGCTAATATCCTACGGCGTACTTTTTAAATACTCCATAGATTTTTAATTGCTTTTAGGTGTTTATGTGTTAACTAACTGTTATCACATTGTGACATGAAATAACTAGTCATTACGTACAACTTACAAAAAATCCCGTAATAAGAAACTATGTTAACGGCGTGCTTTTCAGTACTTGTTGGATTGTAAATTTCTCTGCGAAGTTAAGTAATTTTAAATTATCTATTATTAGTTCATCTAGCATACGTCAGTTGTATCCCTTATTATAGTATCCTCCTAAAATGCTTATCACAATACACAATATTTGGACAATCATACAAAAATGGTAATTTATTTTAAGAGCTTATGATAAATCGTCAACTTTACATTAACTGGTATTCGTCAGGAATTCTAATCTTATCACAATTTAATGATTAATATATACTATAGAGGGAATATATACATCGTCTATCCTAATGTACTACGCTGTCTGCCATAGTCGATTGGAAAAACTTTAGTGGTGATTAAACTGATGCTTAATGTTAGCCCGTCAAGTTATTGACTACTAGTTTGCGCTGCCTGGAAATTTCTGTGCCTTTTATCATGCCGATTTCCGCTTCTATTTCCCTAACGTGAAGTGTAACAACATAGATGCGTTAACATTCATGTCAGGTTTTATGTTTACGACAAACTGACTAGATAATATAAATGAAATGGTCTCCAGATATCCGGTGTATTTATTGTTATGTCTTCTAATATCAGTCAAATTATATGCTTGTCACTAAGATGTTCAATGTTTTAAACCTGAGAATGTATAACCATTAGCAATTTGTGGAAAGGCATTTATCTCTTAATTAGTACCCCTTAATATTAACTCTGTTAGGAGGAGATAAATTGGATTAACCAATGTTTTTAAATTGATCCTCATTAATTTCATTTCGAATCCGGTAAATTACGACTTAGTGTTACACCATATCGACTTTCCTATTTAACGGAATCCTTCCAGCACTAAGGCTATATTCATTATATTTCCTCAAATTTTACTCTATATAGTTGGTTGTTTTATTATCTTTTTTAATACTATAGTCTAATAATAAATTTGCATTCCAATCATCTTCTTGGGCTAAATGTCGTTTTCGAGTGATTGAACTTACTCACTCTTGGCGACAGTCAAATGATCCAAAGTTGGCTCATTTACTATCAGTAATTCGTGAAGGTCAGTGTCCACAATGGGCTGTGGAAAGATTGCGATCTCGTTTGGTTTCTGAACTAGTTAACCATCAAAATAAACCCAAAGTTATAGCGACACGTTTATGTACTCATCGCGCAGACGCTGATGCCTGGAATCAACGCAAGTTAAGTGAACTGCCAGGTTGGTTAAATAATTTTCATTGGGTCGTATGATTTCAGCATTTTATATAGTTATTATTACTTTGTAGCTAGTACGCAAGCCAAAACGCATACAACACATATAATCTTTAAAGAGTAATACCATTACTCTTTAGTAAACTCTGTTTTTTGATGCAATGTAGTGTAAATATTCTTACTGGACTACTCCCACTGACTCTGGAATTTATCTATTGATTCAGTTTTGTAGTAACTAATCGTGTTCTTGACTTTAATAGTATGAAATGCCAAAAAAACGTTAGCAGATTTTCCAGCTTTGACATAAATTATGTGTCTGTCTATTTTATTTATTAGTTATTTGAACAATATATAAGCAAATTTAACCATTCATACATAGATTGGCTCCTAGGTCAATCCATAAACTTTATGCTAATTCAACCATTCAATCCTCCTTGTTCATAGTCTGGTCAGTTGACTAGTGTGTCTGAGATATAATATTCCCAACCGCTACGTATTTCGACTTCTTTGCTTTCATACTGTTAATAATTCTTGGTGGTGTTTTAATCATCGATTTATATGAAGTTACTCGAAACAAGTACACAACCTCCAAAAAATGAGGCTAATAAAACGTATTTCACATCCACTACGAACACTCCTCTACCCACTTTGTTTTAAGGCCCCCAAATGCCCTGGTACGGCCGAGAGTGGGGAGAGTCCGCTCTCCCTCTCGAAATGCTCTCACATGGCCATGCGTATATAGCCTCTGCCAGGGAAGTCCTACTCACTGCCTTCTCGTGGCGGGGGTGTTGTTTACAAAAATGAGAGGACGAAAAGCGAATGTCCGGCACTTTAACCGGATCCAAAACTAATAGTGCACATGGGCTCCAGTATCCTGAAGGAACAAATGGCGTATGAACCAATCGTTGGTCACCGGCTACCATGGGACTGCATCTCCTCACGATGCTCCACTGCCTTGTGGGTTAGACGTTCAGGTCGAAGGCTCGGGGTGTGGCCCCCTAAGAAAACCACCTGTTTCGGTTTGGGCACCCGGGCAGTATCACAGCCCTCACACAAATCAATTGAGATTTGTGTGGCGCATATGTACTTGGTGCCTCCCTGTACCTATACTTATGTGTTAAAATAAATAAATAATAAACTTTGTTTTAAGACTGACATTAAAACGAATGTGGTTTCTTTTTATCCGTAACTTCAAGTTTGTTGGGTATGGCTATAAATATTAAAAAAATGATTGGTTGAAGTATTGAAATATATGCTCAATATTTCAATGGTCGACTTCATGAGTCGATCTAAGCTAAACTACCATTGAAAACCTGGAAGCACTGGACAGCTGTTTCGTCGTAGTATGGGACTCCTCAAGTGGACACAGTTATCCACTTCAAACAATCTATGAGTGGTTGCACATTCATTCATGGATCGATTGAAGTTAGACCTTAACACCGTTGGATGCCGGCTCAATGGTCTAGAAGTTAAGTGTTCGCACGCGAAACCGTAGGTCCTGGGCTCGAGTATCACGCGCGGGACCGTGGGTGCGCACCGCTGAGGAGTTCCGGAATAGTACGAAAAGGCCGTTCAGTGCTTTCGGGTTTTCAACGGTGGTTTAGCTTAGATCGACTCATGAATTCAAATATTAAAACTACTACAATCTCCACAAACCCCTATTCTGATAATATGCTCAATATTTCAAGGTGCACTTTTTTGGCCTAAATACATAAAGATATATATAGTATGCTGGAAAAAATGTCTCTGGATGTAATCACATTCGACCTTGAATCTAGACTATTGATACAGTAATTACTAGCGTTTATTGTTATTAGAAAAAGTATTCACTGCACAAATTATTAACTTTTGATTATTAATATTATTGGATGACAGATTTGAGGATTGCGAAGGAGAAAGATGTACAAAAATGTTCATTAGTGGGGCTGGATGTGAATTATACGTTTAAACCGTAATTGTTTTAATGTTATTCTTGTTTTGAACAGCTTGCTAGCATTACATACCAAAGCCTAATCTACGCTAAACTTTTATTAAGTTGCAGCAGTTCGAACTAATTAGGGCTTTGAGACTCGTTTTCAGTTTTAATTTAAAACTTTGGAAAATATATCGACTAAGAGCTTTTGCGCATTGAGCGTAAGGTGTTATTGCTAACAAAACAAAATAGATGGGAATAGAAATTAGCATTAAATTCTAGCCATCAGTTTTTCGAATTAGTTAAATTTGAATAAACTAAACATAAACTATGTTAAATAGAAAAACAACAAAAACAGCCAGTTATTGGATAAACTTAAAAGTAGATCTTATTCAATAGAAAAACAATATGGTAAAATCCAAGGAATTCTTAGAGAATGCCTTTTAAAAATTTGGACTCCAAAAATTCCAATATATGCACATTAAATAGATTCTTAAGTGTTCTGAATCAAGAGTACTTTCGAATACTCTTCAGACGTTTTACCTAGCTGATGTAAATGAAAATGTTTTTATATGTAATACCAAATCAGTTAATGTTAGTATAACGTTAAACGTCACATTTTTCATGAAATCCATTTACAAATTTTGTTATTTCCTTGTTCACTTATTCAAATAGGTTCATGTAAAGTTTATCGATCTCAAGACAAGGGAGTTGGAAAAGGTATCTCAACCACAATAGATTCATCTTGCCCAGCTCCTGCTGTACTGAATTTAAAAGTTGGTGCTCAAGTAAGAACATGTTTATTTCATTCTGTAATATGCCGTGCATACCATTTAGAAAGTTTTGAATCAGTGATATGTGCGTACACATAAAAGCATGCGTTAGGGTTGAATACAAGTTTTCATTCTTATGAGCATTATGTCGTGAAGTGTATTCTACCAGCGCTCAAAGTTTGACATTTTTAAACTTGCTTTACATCCCTCACACTTTTAACAACCAAAAAGCAGTTAAATTACAATTAAGAATTAGATCTAAATTTATACTTGGCATATTGTTCAAAATTGCACGAATTGGTTTATTCTTCTAACAACCTGTTGTAAATATAAAACTTTAGGTAATGCTACTAAGAAACTTGGATACTAGCCGTGGACTGGTCAACGGAGCACGAGGCGTAGTAGAAAAGATAAATAATGATACTGGTCTTCCTGAAGTTCGATTCTATCCTGCAAAAGCGAATGGATCTAATGGCATCTTACACGTTGTACAAATTGAAAAGTGGACTATTCGTGGGGTTGATGCAGAGGAAATCGCAAGTCGACGTCAATTACCACTAACTCTGGCTTGGGCAATATCCATCCATAAAAGTCAGGGGATAACATTGGAATATGCAGAATTAGCTCTGTCAAAGGTTCGTATTTTGCAGTAGTGCGACGGACTAAAATTTTTCATAATAAATAATTTGGTTTAAAGTAGTTGGCATCCATATTTGCAGAATACGTACGTTCTCAACTGACTAACAATTTTTTTCCAACATTGTCGTTACTCTAAAGCTCTCAACGGAGTATCTTCTGTTACTAGTGATAATGAACTTAACACTTTGCAATTGAAAAGTAATGAACAAAAAATAAATAATTTGATAAATTATAGTAATTATACCAGGATAGAGTATAAAAAATCATTATTCACCAATCAACTTAGACACAAGGTAGCTCAAGCCAATATTAACCCTTAAAACGAGCAACGTGTCAATTCCTAAACAATTGTTTTAACGGTTCAATGTTCAGATTCAATAAAAAATAAAATGAAGTGATTGCTAAATAAATTAATCATGTACTAAAAAGATTACTGGTGATGCTGAACCAACAATTAAAAATAGTAGTAATAATAATGTGAAGGTTTGTAAAATGAAATAACAAAGACAATACTTCGTTAAGTTATATGTAAATTAATCAAATTAGGTTATTCTAAAAATTGAGATAACTATTGATCTATTAACCTTGATGTTGGCTGAGGCAAAAGGAGTTGAACATATTTCTTTTGCACACATAGTTCACTTTTTTGTCGGTAAGAATACTTTTGTAATTAAATTTGTTGTTATACTAATAATTGTTAATGTGACTATGTAGCTGTAGAACCTAAAGAGAATTTATTTAAAAGAATATTCTTTGTTCAATGTATCAGCGTTTCCTTTAATCGAATAATTTCACATTTAAGTATTTTTCGGTTGAATGGTAGTAGAATACTCAACCATAACTTAATGAAGTAAAATTAGGTAAATGGGTCTCACCGGATCACATTACAGAAAACCAGATCGATCATATCTGTATCAATAAAAAATTCAGAAACTCAATGGAAGATATGAGGACCAAGAGAGGAGCTGACACAGCAACGTCAGATCATCACCTGGTGTTTGTCAAGATGAAACTGAAGCTAGAGAAGCACTGGACAGCTGGAGAAACTGTATTACAAAGGTCCAACAAAGCCTTCCTTCGAGATCGTGGCAAACTCGACGAATTCAATATAGCTCTCAACAACAGGTTACAAGCCTTATAAGATGTGGATGAAAAAGAAACTACTATGGAGGACAAGTGGAAGAGGACCAGAGAAGTACTAACTTCCACGTTTCATGTGTACTGGGCCGCAAGGGGCATCACCATAAGGAAGTTTAGAGGGCGCTGAAAACGCGAGTAAACATTTCATCCAATCAGCGTTCAATAGAAGCTTTTCAGAAACATTTAAAAAGTGAAGGGTCACGTGTCACATTCCTAATTGGATAATTACCAATGATGCCAATATATTTGCTATAATTTCGAGAACTTCTAGAACCCCAAGGGCAGCTGAAATTTCATAAATGCCCTCGATTTTTCGCACAAAAATCAACCTTTGAGTAAAACGTTCTTTTCACACTTCGAGCCTTTTTCTCTTGTGTTCAAGTTGCCATGTAAATTTAGCATAAGATAATTAGAAGCGTATAGGAAACGGATACAAGCATCCAGTTAGAAGGCTTATTTTATTCGTTATGTTATTGTCAATTATGAACAATCGATTCTGGTAATCGACTTATTTCACCGTTGTAGTTATTGATTTTGTTGGTGTTGTTATTCTGTCTGTAAAAAATTTCAACTATCGTTTCCAGCTCCAAATATGTCAGCATGTTGAATACCTTCTTATGCTTGAATTGTATGTCATGACTGGATTCATGGATTCTTATGTCGCTTTGTTTATTCCAGGTATTTGAATGTGGACAAGCCTATGTGGCTCTTAGTCGTTGTCGCAATTTAAATGGTTTATATTTACTCGATTGGCGCCCTGAAGTGATTCGTGCAGATCCTAATGTGATAAAATTTTATGCCAAAATCAGAGAGACCAATAATGAAATTAAAAACAAGATTACATGATAATATTTGTATAATTTTCTTTATCCATTTTTTTTTTTCAAAAAGAAACTATCCTCTTAAATCGACGTAGTTTAATTATTTTTATGTGAATGAAATGAATATTTGCAAATGAATAAATTTTACGTTAAGTTAGACAAATCTTATCTAATTTCGATAACTAAGCTGATTACAGTATATGGTAATGAACGTAGACTTATTTATCACTGAACACAAAAAATATTTATTGAGTGGAAACATGGTAAATATGATAACGAATATAAATTTAATATATTTCGAATGATGATGACTATTGAATGATCAACTGATAGATATTTATCTGGGAATCACTACTTTAAGATTAATTGGTTGGTATTTCTTAACTTCCATCAGTAAACGAGCGGTTTACTCTTTCAAATATTTTATTAGCTACGTTTTTACTTACACCTGTTACATAGGGGAGCATAGGCGACGGACTACCATTCTCTATCCAACTCTATCCTGGGCATTCCATTCCAGTTGCTATAGGTATTTTCATGTCTGCTTCCAGTTCTCGACGCAGTTTGTTCTTTGGTATTTCTCTTTTCCCTTCAAGTTTCCAAGTTAGTGCTCACCTCGTGATACAGTTTGGTGATTTCTTCAATGTATGTCCGATCCACCTCCAGTGTCTTTTTCTAATTACCTCTTTACCTGGAAGCTTGGTTCGTAGTGTCGCGATTTGGTCTGTGAACCACCGATCCTTACGGGATCCGGCCTGTTGATCTCGAAGCTGGACATCTACTGAATTTTTCATCCGGTTTAAAAACACTTTGTTGAGCTTTTCCTGGTACCGATAGTAGTTTGATATCCCTGTAGCTCTCACACTTGCTCAGATCTTTATGTGGTATCTTAATAAGATATCCTTATTTCCAGTCTGTCTGTGGCAGTTGATCTTCCTTCCAAATCTTGCTGAATAGAACGTGGAACATGTTTGTAGTTACTTCTATGTGTGACCTTAATGCTTCGGCTGGTGTATTGTTAGGTGCTGCTGCTTTCCCACTTTTGGACCTTTGTAATACAGTTTCTCCAGCTGTCCAGTGCTTCTCTAGCTTCAGTTTCATCTTGACAAACACCAGGTGGTGATCTGACGTTGCTGTGTCAGCTCCTCTCTTGGTCCTCATATTTTCCATTGAGTTTCTGAATTTTTTATTGATACAGATATGATCGATCTGGTTTTCTGTAATGTGATCTGGTGAGACCCATATAGCTTTATGTATGTGCTTATGGGATTGTTCACTGCCGCCCATAACCGTTTTGTTGAATGCACGTTATTTTATTTATTTATTTTAACACATAAGTATAGGTACAGGGAGGCACCAAATACATATGCGCCACACGAATCTCAATTGATAAGTGTGAGGGCTGTGATACTGCCCGGGTGCCCAAACCGAAGCAGGTGGTTTTCTTAGGGGGCCACACCCCGAGCCTTCGACCTGAACGTCTAACCCACAAGGCAGTGGAGCATCGTGAGGAGATGCAGTCCCATGGTAGCCGGTGACCGACGATTGGTTCATACGCCATTTGTTCCTTCAGGATACTGGAGCCCATGTGCACTATTAGTTTTGGATCCGGTTAAAGTGCCGGACATTCGCTTTTCGTCCTCTCATTTTTGTAAACAACACCCCCGCCACGAGAAGGCAGTGAGTAGGACTTCCCTGGCAGAGGCTATATACGCATGGCCATGTGAGAGCATTTCGAGAGGGAGAGCGGACTCTCCCCACTCTCGGCCGTACCAGGGCATTTGGGGGCCGAATGCACGTAAATCTGTAAATCTCTCGCCATTGTCATTCTTTTCTCCCAGTCCATGTCGTCCCATGTTATTTTCTTACCCGGTATTGTCCATTCAGATCTTGGAGTTTAGGTCTCCCATCAAGATGATCAAGTCTTTTTCTGGACACTTCACTATAATCAATTACAGCCTCTCGTAAAACTGACCTTTATCGTCTTCATTGCTATAGTTGGTGGATGCATGACATTGGATAGGATTCTTTATTTCGAAGGATGCTTTAATGATTCCGGATCCATGAGATTCTCATCCTGTTAGTGTTTTCCGCGCTTCATTGAACAGCATCTGAGCAACTCCCTGACTGTGTGGAGCGTTTTCTTCTTCACGACCAGAGTAAAACAGCATCTCTCCCGAATCTAATCTTTTTGTCCAGTTTGGATCAAATGCGTTTCACTGATCCCGAGCACCTCCAAGCTGTATCTCCTCATTTCCGTAGCTATTTGATTGGTCCTCACTGTCCGGACATTTTATTTATCGATATTAGCTGTTGCTCTGGTTGTTAGAAGGGACATCTGCCTTCGCGACTTCCGAAGCATCTCGGCTTTCACTATGAGGTGTTATAATTCTTCTGGATGATGATCCTTCAACTCGAAGGGCAGAGTTTAATTTGTTTATTCTGGTTAGTGTTTTTTCTGATAATGTTGTTTTCTACGGAATTGGGTTGCTGACCCCATGCCCAACCCTCCTTTACCTGCGCTTGAAAAGTGGTGCAGGCGGACTTTTACTATTTATGTGCATGGAAATTTATCACGACTTGTTTGATTAAGACCAATAGAATATCACAATTTTGCTACTGTATTTGGTTGTCAGATGTTATCTGAGTGTTCAATTAGTTTTAAGTTTATTTATGTAAATACAAGTATGTAAGTAAAATTAGTCATTCAGTTGCAATTGACCTTACTGTTGACCAAAAACTACCATTCAATTCGTTGATTTCATTCTGGGAACACTAGGACAAATACTTCACGCATTATTTTTTATAGTAACATATATAACATTTTTATGGTCGACTCTATCAGTAATTGTACATTTTAGGATTTAATGAGTATAACTATTTCTACCATTATTTTAAGTTTTTAAAATGTTGGTGCTTTCTACAAAATCATATAACGAGGTCTAAGAGACTCCAGGAATTGAAAGCAACAATAAGACTGAGTAAATCGGGAATACAAGTGTCCACTGAAAACATTGCATAATACAATACCTGTAGACAGTAATGAGATCTTTTTAATAAACGGAACCCATCCATTCGCCGAAAAGAGAACTCTTCGCTGAACTAATCTTTCTTATTTAAGTAATGAGATCCTCCTTGAAATCGCAATTTTTCTGTATAACTGTTAGTGGTGACTCAAAATGTAGAGATCGATTATTTAGCACGAGTCAATGAGTTTTTCTCTTTATTATCCCATTCGCTTTGTTGACCCAACTGGTATTCATGTGTTACGGTTCAATGAAGTTCAGAATTACGATGAAAGCTCCGCGACCAAACCATCCATCTCAGAAAACAAATCTCCACCAAAAAGTAGTCATTAATTATCAATGAACACAATTATTGGAAGATGCAATTGATGATCATCATAATTCATTTTCTACGGTTCAACTTTAAAATACCTAATGGTTGAAACTTTATAAATAGATAATGAGGTTGAAAAATGTGATGCTGCTTGCCGATCATTCTGTAAGAATGAACGTTCATTCCATGCATATATCAAACTCTTTATATTACTGTTGATCACTGCAAAGGTATCTCAAGAGTTTTTTCTGACCTCAAACATGTTTTGGCAGAAAATTGTCATGCCAGCTTGGTTGGATCAGGTCAATACTTAAAATGTTTCAGGAAAGTATTATATTCATCTAATAATCCAGAACCTTAGCGCGTGAAATGTCATGAGCAACTCGACGAGTAATCATGCATGGTGATGGCCTTGAAACACATAATAACACGATGGATGTGATTTCACAAACGGGACAGACCAAATCTATCTAGGAAAGCATACTTTGGACAGTCAAATGATAAGAATAGTAGGTTAGAAGAGCAGCGATATTTGAATAATCAATAATATCCTACTCTACATACTAGTAAATGAATACATAAGAAATCAGTAATAGACACCAAATCGTTATTATTTCCAGACTAAACAAGACAACGTATGACATAGTACAACATGTATACTATACACAATAAGGCAAAGCTTAAAAAAGTTATATGGAAGAGGTAAAATGTCGCCTACAAATGTGATTAGAAAAAAACACTGTATTAAACTAAAAATGAAAACAGATTATCTCAATTACTGTATAATCATAGAAGTCAACTGACAACAATCATAAAGACAGTTTATCAATATGTCGTAGTATATTCACTAGTGGAAGTTTTAATATTGGATAAAATGAAATTCCTTCCCCTGATATCATCTAAAATAGTTTCGAAGAAAAAAAAATAGGCAGTTCCATGAAAAATATTAAATAATTGTGTCTTATGTGTTGTGTGTGTATGTGATACAGCTTGCAAGTGTAAATGGTATACAAAAATCTGCTAAGAAAACTCTTCTAATTTACTGCATAAATAGTGTGGAAAAAAACAATAAGGATAGGGAAATTATAATGATTTCTGTCGAAAAATTAAGGCATCAGTGCATAATATGACAAAAAAGTGTTTGTATGTATCCATATGTACAAATAGGGAGGCTGGCGGATTGTGTAATACTGTTGATCATCGTATTTTAAAGAAGTTACAAATAAAAAAAAGAATAATAGTAATTGGAAATCGTTTATAGTAGTGAATGGTAATAATGATACGGTTCATTGTTTAAAAAAAAGTATACTCACGAGCATACGTTTACTATGTATAAAAAAATTAACATGGTAATAATAATAAGGCATAAACAAAGGAAAAACGAACTCATGGAGTTTATTTATTTGATCATAAGTCAGTATCTCGTGAAACTCCACTTAAACGAACATAAGGAGAAGTACCTCTGAAATTTCTGTTCATCATCAACATACCAGAATAATTACTTTTATTACTGTGGACACTATTCACTGGACTTCTCGCAGATGTTTGTGTTGTATTCACAGATTTTTTCAACGTCGGTGTAGTAGAAGTAGCTGTTCTAGTGGTAGTCGATGATGAATCCGAATCTTGTAGTTGTACACATTCTGATTTTGGTAATAAAATTGGTTGAAAATAAAACTTTTTTTG